CCACACTGGTACATGAGGTCAGAACATCCTACAATACACCACACTGGTACATGAGGTCAGAACATCCTACAATACACCACACTTGTACATGAGGACAGAACATTCTACCAATACACCACACTGGTACATGAGGTCACAACATCCTACAATACACCAGACTGGTACATGAGGTCAGAACATCCTACAATACACCACACTGGTACATGAGGTCAGAACATCCTACAATACACCACACTTGTACATGAGGACAGAACATCCTACAATACACCAGACTGGTACATGAGGTCAGAACATCCTACAATACACCACACTGGTACATGAGGACAGAACATCCTACAATACACCACACTGGTACATGAGGACAGAACATCCTACAATACACCACACTGGTACATGAGGACAGAACATCCTACCAATACACCACACTGGTACATGAGGTCAGAACACCCTACCAATACACCACACTGGTACATGAGGTCAGAACATCCTACCAATACACCACACTGGTACATGAGGACAGAACATCCTACCAATACACCACACTGGTACATGAGGTCAGAACATCCTACAATACACCACACTGGTACATGAGGTCAGAACATCCTACAATACACCACACTTGTACATGAGGTCAGAACATCCTACAATACACCACACTGGTACATGAGGTCAGAACATCCTACGAATACACCAGACTGGTACATGAGGACAGAACATCCTACAATACACCACACTGGTACATGAGGTCAGAACATCCTACAATACACCACACTGGTACATGAGGTCAGAACATCCTACAATACACCACACTGGTACATGAGGACAGAACATCCTACAATACACCACATTGGTACATGAGGACAGAACATCCTACGAATACACCACACTGGTACATGAGGTCAGAACATCCTACAATACACCACACTGGTACATGAGGTCACAACATCCTACAATACACCACACTGGTACATGAGGTCAGAAAATCCTACCAATACACCACACTTGTACATGAGGACAGAACATCCTACCAATACACCAGACTGGTACATGAGGTCAGAACATCCTACCAATACACCACACTGGTACATGAGGTCAGAACATCCTACAATACACCAGACTGGTACATGAGGTCAGAACATCCTACCAATACACCACACTGGTACATGAGGTCACAACATCCTACAATACACCATTTTGGTACATGAGGTCAGAACATCCTACAATACACCACACTGGTACATGAGGTCAGAACATCCTACAATACACCACACTGGTACATGAGGTCACAACATCCTACAATACACCACACTGGTACATGAGGTCAGAAAATCCTACCAATACACCACACTTGTACATGAGGACAGAACATCCTACAATACACCACACTGGTACATGAGGTCAGAACATCCTACAATACACCACACTGGTACATGAGGTCAGAACATCCTACAATACACCACACTGGTACATGAGGTCAGAACATCCTACAATACACCACACTGGTACATGAGGACAGAACATCCTACCAATACACCACACTGGTACATGAGGTCAGAACATCCTACCAATACACCACACTGGTACATGAGGACAGAACATCCTACAATACACAACACTGGTACATGAGGTCAGAACATCCTGCAATACACCACACTGGTACATGAGGTCAGAACATCCTACCAATACACCACACTGGTACATGAGGTCAGAACATCCTACAATACACCACACTGGTACATGAGGTCAGAACATCCTACCAATACACCAGACTGGTACATGAGGACAGAACATCCTACCAATACACCAGACTGGTACATGAGGTCAGAACATCCTACAATACACCACACTGGTACATGAGGTCAGAACATCCTACAATACACCACACTGGTACATGAGGACAGAACACCCAACCAATACACCACACTTGTACATGAGGACAGAACATCCTACCAATACACCAGACTGGTACATGAGGTCAGAACATCCTACAATACACCACACTTGTACATGAGGTCAGAACATCCTACAATACACCACACTGGTACATGAGGTCAGAACATCCTACAATACACCACACTGGTACATGAGGACAGAACATCCTACAATACACCACACTGGTACATGAGGTCAGAACATCCTACAATACACCACACTGGTACATGAGGTCAGAACATCCTACCAATACACCACACTGGTACATGAGGACAGAACATCCTACCAATACACCACACTGGTACATGAGGTCAGAACATCCTACAATACACCAGACTGGTACATGAGGACAGAACATCCTACAATACACCACACTTGTACATGAGGTCAGAACATCCTACCAATACACCACACTGGTACATGAGGTCAGAACATCCTACAATACACCACACTGGTACATGAGGTCAGAACATCCTACAATACACCACACTGGTACATGAGGACAGAACATCCTACAATACACCACACTGGTACATGAGGTCAGAACATCCTACAATACACCACACTGGTACATGAGGACAGAACATCCTACAATACACCACACTTGTACATGAGGACAGAACATCCTACAATACACCAGACTGGTATATGAGGTCAGAACATCCTACAATACACCAGACTGGTACATGAGGACAGAACATCCTACAATACACCACACTGGTACATGATGTCAGAACATCCTACAATACACCACACTGGTACATGATGTCAGAACATTCTACAATACACCACACTGGTACATGAGGTTAGAACATCCTACAATAAACCACACTGGTACATAAGGTCAGAACATCCTACCAATACACCACATTGGTACATGAGGTCAGAACATCCTACCAATACACCACACTGGTACATGAGGTCAGAACATCCTACCAATGCACCACACTGGTACATGAGGTCAGAACATCCTACAATACACCACACTGGTACATGAGGTCAGAACATCCTACCAATACACCACACTGGTACATGAGGTCAGAACATCCTACAATACACCACACTGGTACATGAGGTCAGAACATCCTACCAATACACCACACTGGTACATGAGGACAGAACATCCTACCAATACACCACACTCGTACATGAGGTCAGAACATCCTACCAATACACCACACTGGTACATGAGGTCAGAACATCCTACAATACACCTTACTGGTATATGAGGTCAGAACATCCTACGATACACCAGACTGGTACATGAGGACAGAACATCCTACAATACACCACATTGGTACATGAGGTCAGAACACCCTACAATACACCACACTGGTACATGAGGTCAGAACATCCTACAATACACCAGACTGGTACATGAGGTCAGAACATCCTACAATACACCAGACTGGTACATGAGGTCAGAACATCCTACCAATACACCAGACTGATAAATGAGGACAGAACATCCTACAATACACCACACTGGTACATGAGGACAGAACATCCTACAATACACCACACTGGTACATGAGGTCAGAACATCCTACAATACACCAGACTGGTACATGAGGTCAGAACATCCTACAATACACCACACTGGTACATGAGGTCAGAACATCCTACAATACACCACACTGGTACATGAGGTCAGAACATCCTACAATACACCACACTGGTACATGAGGTCAGAACATCCTACAATACACCACACTGGTACATGAGGACAGAACATCCTACAATACACCACACTGGTACATGAGGACAGAACATCCTACAATACACCACACTGGTACATGAGGTCAGAACATCCTACCAATACACCACACTCGTACATGAGGTCAGAACATCCTACCAATACACCACATTGGTACATGAGGTCACAACATCCTACAATACACCACACTGGTACATGATGTCAGAACATTCTACCAATACACCACACTGGTACATGAGGACAGAACATCCTACCAATACACCACACTGGTACTTGAGGTCAGAACATCCTACAATACACCAGACTGGTACATGATGTCAGAACATTCTACCAATACACCACACTGGTAAATGAGGACAGAACATCCTACCAATACACCACACTGGTACTTGAGGACAGAACATCCTACCAATACACCACACTGGTACATGATGTCAGAACATCCTACAATACACCACACTGGTACATGAGGACAGAACATCCTACAATACACCACACTGGTACATGAGGTCAGAACATCCTACCAATACACCAGACTGGTACATGATGTCAGAACACCCTACCAATACACCAGACTGGTACATGAGGTCAGAACATCCTACAATACACCACACTGGTACTTGAGGTCAGAACATCCTACCAATACACCACACTTGTACATGAGGTCAGAACATCCTACCAATACACCACACTGGTACATGAGGTCAGAACATCCTACCAATACACCACACTGGTACATGAGGTCAGAACATCCTACCAATACACCACACTGGTACATGAGGTCAGAACATCCTACAATACACCACACTGGTACATGATGTCAGAACATCCTACAATACACCACACTGGTACATGATGTCAGAACATCCTACAATACACCAGACTGGTACATGAGGTCAGAACATCCTACAATACACCACACTGGTACATGATGTCAGAACATCCTACAATACACCACACTGGTACATGAGGTCAGAACATCCTACAATACACCACACTGGTACATGAGGTCAGACCATCAGACCTTTTCATCCGACCAATACGTCAGAACTTTGCACCAGATTACTACCCCGAACCAGTACTTTCGACCAATACATCAGACCAGCACACCAGGCCAGTACATCAGAACATGTCGTATACTAACCACGCGATAGCCATATTTCTGCTGCAGGCTAACTGCAGAAATTGTAACACGATTTTTATTTAATTGTGACAAGAACCACATTCCAGTTGGTTTATCCCCTTCTATACAATTTGGACATCTACATCAGGTTGTCAAGGGTTTGGTGTTGATTTCCCCAAATAAGCAGAACACCACAGCTAGTAATAAACATGCTACTTCTGATTACAGAATGGAAGGGAATGCTTCTGTGGTGACGTCATCAAAGGTTGGTACAGAAGGAGACCCGACACTGAGTGCAACGTTCCTTGTACTGGTGACAGAAGCACGATGTGTGGCGGAGACTGGAGGATGTCCATCTATAAGATCTATTGTACTACAGCTGTGTGAATTATTCAATTCCGTGATATGCTGGTTGGTTTGGTTGTTTGTTGTTTAACGCCGCACTCAGCAATATATGACGGCGGTCTGTAAATAATCGAGTCTGGACCAGACAATCCAGTGGGATTGATGACATGCATCAACCAAGTCAGCGAGCCTGACCACCCGATCCTGTTAGTCGCCTTCATCGACAAGCATAGTCACCTTTTACGGCAAGCATGGGTTGCTGAAGACCTATTCTACCCCGGAATCTTCACGGGTCTCGTGATATGCAGTATGTAGACATTCAACGCTACAATAATGAGTTACGTAATGCCCATGGACCATGACTATGGCGCTATAAAGGGAGATGGAAACATACGTCACTATCTTACGAAGAAGGGGGCACGGTGGCCCAGTCGTCTAAAGCGCCGCGATTCGTTGTGCAGAGTGGCGTCCCTTGGGCATGCCAGGAACCTATGATTGTGGGTTCGAATCCTGGTTCGCCCCGATTATGTTTCTAGGTTTGTCAGCACCGTACCCGTGCTCGTGGGTTTCACCGAAGTGGTAAACGTCTGAGACCTGCATCATTTCGGGCTTTCCTCCAACATTAAGCTGACACGCCGTGGTATAACTGGAATACTGTTAAAAGTGGTGTTAAACCCAACTCACTCACTCACTCCTACGAAGGAAGACCGGATTATCTTTGTTGTTATGTGCTGCTGAGGTCCCTGTGCTTTTACTGGTATTGTATCCTGTTATCACTTCAGATTACTCAATAAAACTTGTGTCCTCTCCGAACCTGACTGTTTCACTGACATCACACTTTGTTTGTTTGTTTGTTTTTTTGTTTAACGCCGCACTCAGCAAAAGTCCAGCTATATGACACTGGATTGTCCGGTCCCGACTCGATTAATTACAGACAGCCGTCAGATAGCTAAAATATTGCTGAGTGCGGCGTTAAACAACAAACAAACAAACAAACAAACAAACATCCAGACTTCATTGCATTGAAGTCCCATTTCATTCAAGCTTAGAGCTCACTTAGGATTAATGCCAGATAGAGAGTAAAATGGGACAACTGAGAGATCTGAGAGATGACAAATAGTATATTGTACTCTCGATTTACACTGTCCAAGGGGATAAATAATGTCAAACATCTCATGAAAAGTGGCATGAAAACCCACGAGACAAACAAGCGGGTTCTGAAAAACTTGGATTAAACCGAGTCTGGTATTCTTAAGCATGGAGACATTATGATAGTTGATAAACATGTTCAGTAAACTGCGGTTATAATGAACTCAAAGGGACCACTAATTTTAGGTCGTGGTATGGTATGGTCCAGCTCAAGAGCTGGAAGAATAACACTGTATTACCCAACGATTGCCATATGATGATATGTCCTCACTACTCTACACGGTTTGGCAAACGATTGTTATATCTTCTTTAAAGGCACGTGTCCCGTGTGAACCCCGACAGGGAGAAAGAATACTGTGTGAGACGTTTGATCCGCTCAATGTGAAGGAGATACTTTGCATGCAGCCAAGCGAGAGGACACACACGCTAATGGTGTGTGAATTGACAATTACGTATGTTCTTGCATCTTTCTCATAAAGTCTTTTCTGTGCGAGACATGTGTCATTAAATGCGTAAACCTGTTTTACTGGTCCATTGCCTGTTTGAAATTATGAATTCTGTCAGATGTGTGCGTCTACTTTGATCAGGTAATACGAGTGAACAACTTCTTTATTACAATTAGTGCGACGTTTCAGTGTAGATCCTAACACCTTTATCAAGCAAGTGTTGGATAGTGCTTACTTACTTATATTGGAGATTTAACGTGCGCTTTCCGACTGCAAGCGTATGTCACACAGGCCCGGCCAGGCCATTTAATGTGTTTCCAAAAAGGGTTAAAGTGAGTTTGTGCAACCCAGGAGGGGGGGGGGGGGGGGGGGGGCTTTAGGGGTTGCTTATATAGTAATTTGGAAATTTGGAAAGAAAGCCAAGAGTGGGTGGGGGGCGAACTAAGGGAGCTGTGTGTGTTGGGAGGTTGTTAGATAAGGTAGTTTTGGTTTTAATATTTTATTGGGGGTTTAAATGCGACTAATTAGTCCTGTTTTAATTAGGTACATGCCTAAGGCTTTGAATTTTTCTAATTTATTTTGTGGATTTAGGATTGATTCTAGTGTAAGTCCCGTTTTAAGATTTAGGGTGGTCTGAAGTGTTGTTCGGTGTGTTTGGTAGTGTGTGCAGTGAATGAGTACGTGTTCTGGTGTTTCTTGTTGTTTGCAATGTGGGCAGTTTCCTGTTGTGTGTAGATTAGCTATTTTACGGTGATTATTTAGTTTGGTGTGGCCTGTTTGTAGTTTAGTAATTATTCTGTCGATTTTTTTGGATGGGTGTAGTATTTTTGGTTTATTTAGTTTTTTTTTAGTACTTTCCTGATTTGGCTATTTGAGTTTTGGTATATATTTTGCCATTTTTTGTTGATTTTTTGTTTAGTGACACTTTTGATTTCTGATTTTGAGCTGGGTAAGTTTAAGCTTATTTCTGGGAGTTTAAGGGATAATTTTGCTGCTTTATCTGCCTTTTCATTTCCAAAGATTCCTACGTGGGGGGGGGATCCAAATGAACGCTATTTGTTTACCTGCCTTAGTTAAGTTGTTTAAGCTATTGAGTATTTGATTTATTAGTTTGGGGTGGTTTTTAGTGTTTTATTTTTGAGGGCTTGTAGTCCACTGAGGGAGTCGGTTAGGATGAGGATTTTTTAGTGTTTTTTAGATTGCTGATTGTGTAGTGCTGAGGCCATGCCCATGAGTTCGCCCGTGAATATGGATTGGTTGTTTGGGAGTCGGTAAGATTGTGTGTTTTGGGTTGGTTGTGCGATGTGGACTCCGAAACCTGTGTGTATTGAGATCGGATCTGAGGATCCGTCTGTGTATATGTGCCACCAATTTGGCCAATTTTCATGTATGTATGCTAGTGTGGTGGTTTTAGCGATGTTAGGATCGGTCTGTTTATTAAATGTATCGGCTAGTGTTGTGTCTATTTTTGGTATTTTAAGTTTTGGAGTGAAGATATTGGATGATTTATTGTTTTGTTTAAGATTATTTATTTTGTGTTCATTTAGGTAATTGGTTATTCTTTGGGAAATTGGAGTAAGTAGTGGATGTTTCCGGGCTAGGGCTTGGTTTCTAGGGCTAATATTGTTTTGTATTAAGTTTTCGATTAGAGGGTTTGATTGGGACGCGGCCCAGAAGTTTAGGGTAGGTTGTTCCGTACGTAGTGTAAGTGGCATTTCTCCTGTTAAGGCCTGGAGTGAGGTGGAGGAGGTGCCATGTTGAGTTCGTGTGATTAGTTTTAGGGCCTGATACTGGATTGAGTCTAGTTTGTTTATGAGAGAGTTGTTTAAGGTGTCGTAAATGGCACTGCCATAGTCTAGTTTGGATCTAATTAGTGATATATAGAGTGAGAGGAGGGTGTTTTTAGAGGCCCCCCAGTTGGAGCCGGTTAGGCATCTTAACGTGTTTAGGTCTTTGCTGCACCTGGTTACTAGGTTTTTAATGTGAGCATCCCAGGTGAGATGTTCATCTAAGATTAATCCTAAGAATTTTGTTTGTTTTTGGAATTTGATTGGTTTGTTGTTTAGTTGGAGGTTTAGGGAGGTGGGTTGCATGTTTTTGTGTTTAAATACTATTCCTGTGTTTTTTTCTGAGTTGAGGGAGAATCCCCATTTGTCAGCCCATTTTTGTATTTTATTTAGAGATTTTTGTAGTAAGTTTTGGGCCATTTTAATGCTTTTTTAGTGCGGATCCAGAGGGCTCTATCATCCGCGAATTTTGATGTGTTAACTTTGGGGGATAGTCCCTCGAATAGATCGTTAATCATAACATTGAAGAGTGTCGGGCTCAGGATGCTGCCCTGGGTAGTGTCATTTTCTAGGGGACACTGGTCCGATAGAGTTTGGTCTATACCCACGATGATTTTGCGGTCTGTTAGGAAACTTTGGATGTAGTTAATTATTTGACCTTTAAGACCTATTTTTTGTAGTTTTTGTATTAGCCCGTTATGCCAAACCATGTCAAGTGCTTTGGAGAAGTCTAGAAAGATGCCTGTAGTATATTGTTTGTTAAGTTGGCCTGTTTTAATGTCCTGCTCTAGTCAATAGTGCTAAACAACATAGGTATATATACTTATTAACATCAATGTTTATACAGTAAAATGATTGATGGACACAGAGCTGATTAAGATAATTGGAAGCCAGTGGATGACTAATGGACACAGAGTCAACAAGCAGACTGATAGAGATGATGGAAGCCAGTGGATTAATTGGATGGACACAGGGATTTAGCAATTAGGTGATGGTAAGCAGGCAGGATGTAATAGCCTTGATCTCTGTTCATTGCTGGCTGGATCCTTTTGATGTAGATGGCTTCTAGGAGTTTCCTGATTTTGTAGTCTGATTGATTGTTGGCCAGGATCTTGATGTTGTTCCACTAGATGTTGTGGTCGGAGATGGCTGATTTTGAGTCATTTTTTTGTACTGAGGTCATGTGTTCTTTTATTCTAATGGGTAGGGGCCTGGATGTTTCTGCTACATAGGAGTCGCCACAGTCACATTGTATGTGATATACGGCACCAGTTGGGTCTTCTTTCTTTGATGTAGAGGGCCTGCCATTGGCACTGAGGATGTTCTGGATTGTCCTGCCTCTCTGGAATACTGTATCAATGTTGGCGTGGTGTTTGAGCAGTCTGCGGATCTGGTGGCTGGCTGTTCCTATGTAGAGAAGACTGATGACAAACGGGGCTGTCTGTTGTCGTGGAGGCCGCTCCCTGGGGCTGAGGATGCTGTTGATTGTTTGTTCAACTAGGCTGGTAGGATAATTGTTGAAGTAAGTGAAGTCTGTTGTACTTGTGTGCTGTATGCGAATGCTGTCTTGACCCGTGAAGATCCGGGGTAGAATAGGTCTTCAGCAACCCATGCTTACCGTAAAAGGCGACTATGCTTGTCGTAAAAGGCGACTAACAGGATCGGGTGGTCGGGCTCGCTGACTTGGTTGATGCATGTCATCGATCCCAATTGTCATATTG